GAGCTGGGGGAGACTCTGCTGAAAGTGATCTGTCTGTGTGACAGCACAGGGACGACAGACTGTACTCTGGGGATGACGGGCAATAAATGACTGTAAGTGAGGGGAGGCCGCCTCCAGGGCTGACATTGACTGACAGGCAGCTGTGCTTGTGAGTTTTTTTTGCCTTGGAAGACTGAGCAGGTTATTTTGGGTAAAGGAACGGAGGACGAATGTGGGGTTTGTTCCAAAATGAGGCATCGACGAGTAAATTATGAAGCAAGTGTATTCGCTATATTCTTTGGAAAGTAAACAAAACATAAAACTGTCCCATGAGGCAATGCTTGTCCACTTTGCATAATGATGTTTTAAATAAAGATCTTGCATAATTTGTTAGCTCTTTAAATATGTGTTGTGATTTACTTTAAGCTATCACCACACCAAATTTCAGCTCAGTATCTGTAATACTCACTGAGTTAGGACCACTCTTGCCTTTGGTAAATGTGGTGGCCATCTTGAATTGGGTAGACTCCAAAAAATGAATCAGTTGTAAACACATTATTTCTTGAACATTTCATTCAAGTCTGCCTAGTGATTTATGAGCCATTGTGCAGACAGACACACAAACGAACACACACGTAGGCAATTGTATGACTGCCTGCCTTTAATGGCTGTGAGCGATAATAAAACTACTAAAACGCTTGTTTTTCTTTGACGCCCCCAAATACAAACTCTACATTCCTTAGTTTACGTCAGGATTACACAACTGTAATGTTTGTCGTAAGTGTCACCAAAACACTGAACAGTGTCTGAATACTTGTGCCAGACAGACGCTCACAGGAATGCGGTATTTCAGGTTTCAACTCAAAACAGTTGTCCAGCTCTCATTGCATAATGGTCATCAGTGGAGGCGTAAAACGTGAGGTTATTTAGCCTGAAGTGTGTGAGGTGAGAATAGTATGTTTTAATTTTTCTTGTCTCATTCATCTGTCTGTCTGACAGGAAGTGAACAGAGGAAGAGATTGAGTGTTTGTTGTTTCGCTCTGTGTTATCGTCTCTCAGATCACTTGGGTCCTAAAAATTCACTTTAAATGGTTGTGAGTCATGGGCAAAGTTCAACTGTAAACGGGCCGGCTGTAAGGCCTTGCCAGTACCGGGTTCCCCTCGGATCGAGTTTGTCCGATGAGCCGGCAGGTGCAGGTTTCAGGAACGGGGAGGTGAACGTCTGGGCATAATGCAGGACTGATCTTTGAAGGACTTCTGAGAGTGGGCGTGTGCGTTTGTTTGTGCACCGCAGAGACTATAGTCTCACATGTGCTTTAGAAAAACTGGGAGGGCAGGATTTTCATTGTGAAAGCGAGCTTGTGTGGTGGAGGTTTCCATTTGCTCATTCTTTGGACTTTGGATATTTGACACCGAAAGGTAAATTTCTTCAGCACACTCGTTTGCTTGAAGAAACCATAACCCTGAGCTGCTCGAGTGTTTTATAAATTGCTTTGTTAGACTCGTTTAAAGCTTGGGTATCAGCTGCTTTCTCCCTGCTGTGTCATCAAGTTCCTGTTTGGTGTGGAGCAGCTTGATTCGAGGGCCGGTCTGCAGTCTCAGGTAACCATGGCTGCGCTGTGTTTCCATAGGTAACAACCCTCTGTCTTCTTCTGCTGTTTGTTTTTCCCAGAAGAGACTCTGGCCGGTCTTGGGTCAAAGAGCTCCTCACCAGCCAGTAATTTGTCTGTCGGACATGTCAGCTCTCTTGATCATAGGTTGAGCTTTTTCCTCTGACCTGCCTCGTACCTGAGTCATGGCTGATGAAGACTGCAGGACAATCTGGTCTTTGATCCTCGGTGTGGACAGTGTTTTTATTCATATCTGTATTAGAACTAGGGAAGTTTTTGAAATCTACTGTGATGCAGAGATGTGTGGGGAAGGAAGCCCAGTTTGTCACATGAAGATGAGAGTAAAATAAGACTGCCGTGTTTCCATCAATGTTTTTAATGCACATTTTTGAAGCATTGCATCAGAAAAGGTGAATGGAAACAGCATGATTCGAAAAATCGTCCTCTAATTTGCATAAAAGTTGATACGCTCGCTTGAGGTGGTTTTTGGTTTTTCAAAAAAGGGTTAATGCGCAAAAGGAGAGATGGAAAAACATTTGTCGAATAAGTTTTGGCGTAGTGAACATTTACCTCACATGTTGATCAGCTGTTCCTGCAGTAGAGCGACTGCAGCAGGACCCTCCTCCAGCTGTCAGCGTCTTCTCAGTTATTCCTGTAACGTGAAGAGAATTACATTTCTTTCTCTACATCTCCAGACAGCAGTAACACCGCCAAAACTAGTTGATGTGACAGAATAATTACAACTTTCTTGATAGTAGCAACACATTCCTGATAACTTCTCTCCATTAACCTGAGATGTGTGGACCCTGCGAGTTTCCAACTTTTACTTCCTGTTTACTACACACATGTTTGACGTAAATGATTGACGTCTTAATGGAAACATTTCTGATTTGCATTTCTTCGTTTTTTTTTTTTTTTTCTTTTTGTGAAATTAAAAAAAATTCGCTCAGGTTTTGAATTAAATTGAATGGAAACACGTGGACTGACTGAGTTTTCTCCACTGCCTGGAGACAATAAAAAAACACTGAGTTAGATGTGTAGAGACGAGTCTTGGTTGTAATTGTATTGGGAACAAATTGATGTGAATATCCAGTAGGGTTGGGCAATATTGGCAAAAAAATTAATCACGATTAATTGTGGTATTTGGCTGATAACGATTAATTAATCCCCTGGACACCCTTATGTCCTAGTCACATGACCAATTTAGTGGAAAAGATTTGCTCTTCATAAAAATCTGTTCCAAATCGTGTCAAAATTACAGACTTACAGTATATACACATCAATTTTTAAATTGTGTGAGAAATCTCCAGTCAGTCTGCTTGGTGGCATTAATCATATTATTCGTCAAGTGCCAAAAAATAATCGATTAATGTTTTTCTGACGATTAATTGCACATGATACGATTATGCCCAACCCTAATATCCAGGTGAAACTGATCCACTTCTTCATCCGTCCAAAGCATAATGGAGAATCTTTAAACTTCTGTTGTTACAAAGGCATTAATAGGCTGAATTGCTTATTCTCATTTTGACCTGTTTATAAATCGACAACTGAGATGGAACAAATCCAACCTCATCACAGCTGTGGCTGAAAGCACGAACATTTCTGACACATGTTTTGCTAATGGTAGAACAGCTTCACTGCATGTTGCACAAAGGCATGTTTGACACTTTCTTTTCTTGCTATTGTTTAGCTTTAGCCCTTAGGTTTGCTGTACTTTGGCTTTGAGGGTCTTTAAAGACTGGTCACATCACTACACCGCGCTGAATGCTGTCCCATTTCGTGGGCTCCTCATGTGGCCGACAAATGCAGCTCATAAAACCCCCAAAAACAATGGATGTGTCTGAATGTCCTTCACGAACCATGGCGCCCCAGGATTTATTGCACCATCATCAAATTTTATAGGAAAAAGAAAATGGCAAAGTTTGGAAAGTCATCACAGATCAAAGGTTGATGAAATTCCTGCTGCGAGGGGATGTTAATTACTGATGCTGGAGCTTGAAAAGACGTGTGAATACTTGATCCAATGCATTTGAAGTTTTAGGCATTTATGGGTGATGTGATGTAAAACGTAATGGTGACGAGGTAGTGCGTGGTCACGCATCCAGACTGTCTCATTTCACAGCCATTAGATTCAGCCTACCTGGACTATGAGGGGTGTGGCCTCTGTGGGCTGCGGACTACATGGAGCTGAGATGTTAGAACCACCTGTAATGTGAGATATTATTGTTTAATATTGCAGTAAACTCACATTCATCTAAACCAGGTGTGTATCAAGGTCAGTGAGAAGCTAGTGAACTGACCAAATATGTTATTATCAGCAGTACCTGAACGTGTGGTAATTTAAATATAATGACCTGTAGCTACAGCTCTTTGAAAATGTTTTATATTGTGCAGCCTTAGCTGCAATCTGCTCAGACTGCTTAAGTTTATTTGTGGCATTAAAATGCATCTCTTTATGAGTGTTTAGTAACCATGTATTAACCAGTGTTAGTTTCCATCACACACAGCCAGTTCTGATTAACGAAACCAGGACATGCGTAGATCTGCTCTGGTTTCTGCTCGAAAAACAGAAGAAAAGAAGAGAAACACTTAAAAGTCGTGTGATGATGTCGAAGAGCAGACTTCTCCCTCTGCAGCTTTATTTTTGGACCCGTTTCTGTGCAGGAATGTGAAGAAAACATGAAAACGTTGCTGCTCTGCCCACTGAAAATAAATGCAACCCATATTCACTGCCTTTATATTCGGCAACAAATCAGTTCTTCGCCTCGATGTGCTACTTTTAGTTGTTCTGTGATGCTGTTTTATTTATATATTTATTTATTTATTTATTTATTGGGGAACTTTGAGTTTTTGGTGCAAGAAGAGTGACCCTGATAAGGATCTTGGGTTTTGTGGGGCATTCAGTGCTGTGTTGTCTCCTTATGGTTCATCTAGTCCACAAAAAACGTTTACTGAGCAACAAGAAAAACATATCTGTGTCTAAAACTATGTATGTCTGAATCCAGTAAAAATATAGAAACATATCTTAAACTCGTCCAGAACCCTTTCAGTAGTTTTTTAGATGAGACTTTTATGAAGATATTTGCTTTTTTTAATCAAACAATGTTAGATGTTAGAGAATGAAACAAATCTCTGAAGTTTTAGTGATATTTCCCAGCTTTATTCACACATTTAGTCTATTTAGAGACGATTCTCAGGGCAGATCAGTGCACACAGATGGAGACAGGAACCTCCTCTACATGACTTTTGCTGCACAGCTTCTCTCCTCAAGGTCACTCAGCATCACTACTTCCTCTGTACATCACAGCTTTGCCCCAGCAGGAGTGACTGTGAAAAATAAAATCCGCTCCTTGATTTAGATGAATTTTATTCCTTCATTCCTAATATTTAGCCTCCTCTCATCCTCAGACCTGCCCGCCTCCCCTCTGAAGTACCCGTGTGGCTCGCCGGACGACCGGAGCGCTCCACGGCTGGTGAAGAAAGGTCCGACTGCCAGACAATGTCACGACAAGCCCACCATCAAACCGCGGCCCCCGCTCTCCGCCTTATCCAGACCGCCAACCGCTCAGAAACCTCAAGGTAAAACTCCCGCAGCAGGATCTGGGCCCCGCTGTCAGGTTTTCATTTATTCTGCTCTGACAGAGCCGTTTCTGCAGCACGGCGGCCTCACTCTGCCACTCACACTGCTTTAGTGGGTCACTCCGGCGTAAAGGAGGCCAGTGGTTCCCATGTGTTTGTGTTCGAGCTTCATTTGAAGGATGATAAAAATGAGCACGCGCCGCACCTGGGGAGGATCCCAGGACGTTCGAACACAGACTTGTCCCTAATTTTCAAATGGTTTGAACCCATAGGTCTGCTGCCGACATGTGGAGGGAAAAATAATCACAGATATCTGCTAGTATTAGACTATTTATGCAGGCAAATTAAAGTTACAGTAAAAGAGAAGTCGTGTTTTAAGGGAAGTACTGGACCTCAGTAAGGGTAAAGTGTAGCTTGCTTCATGGCAGACAGCATAGTCTGGTAAAATAACTTACCCTCATAGTTCAGGTAACCAGTTTGAAAAGGTTTACTCCAGCGGTTTTATAATTTTATTGATAAGCAGTTCTGAAAAGCGGGTTCACGTTAAACATAAACAAAGCGATCATTAGAAAGCCATGGGTAAGTTTGAGTTGTGTGATTGAGCTCATTAGACTGGGTGTAGTCTGTGAAGGTAGACCAATATGACAGAATTAGGTGAGCTCAGAGAATACGTCCAGGTGGAATTATAAGTTTTTTTGCTGTGAAACATCAAAGAGATCATCAGAATCAGCTTTATTGGCCAAGTATGTTGACACACACAAGGAATTTGTTTACGGCTGATGATGTCTCTCCAATATACATACATACAAGATACAGAGTGATGGAAGCACTATAGCATAAGACATAAACATTATAGTATGTCTATGGCACCTTCCTGAGGGTAGAAGTTGAAACAGACTATGTCCTGGATGTGTGGAGTCTGTCATGATTTTCTCTGCCCATTTCCTGGTTCCTGCTGCGTACAGGTCCTGAAGTGTGGGCAGGGGAGCACCAACGACTCTCTCAGCTGTCCTGATTGTCTGTTTTTGATCTGCTGGGTGGCTGCTCAGACTCTGATGGATGTGCACAGGACAGAGCACAGAAAAAGGAGTAAAATAGTTGTGAAGAAAAAATATTAAGGAGAAAGCCTGTTCATTTCCCTTTTAAATGGTGTCACGTTTGTAAGGAACATGCATTTGTGGGATGAGCAGTAGAGCAGAGTGTGGGTTGCACAAATGAAACATTTGCCAAATCTTCTCTGCTAAACAGCTTATTCTGTTGTTTTTGACTCTTGTTTTGAGCCTCTGGTACCTCCAGGTGCCTGAAATAAGTTTTATTGCCAAGAACTGTTATAACAAAGAAATGATCTACCAAACACAAAATTGCTTACTTTTTATGCTAAGTGTAAAGGTTTCTATGAATTTTATTAGTTAATTTGTCTTTTTTATGCTGCAATAATTTATTTGTCTGGTATCATTGGCATTAATAAACATGGTATACAGTTTTAAAAGGCTTTTCTGTCATTAATGCTACAAAATGAAGATTTTTTTAAAGTTTCTTTTTAATTTCGACATCTTTTCAGATTTAAAATTATTGTTTCTAAAATTAAGTTTTTTTATTTTACACTTACAACTTTTAAACAGAATAAAATATAATGGATTTCATATTAAATAAAATATTTCCATGACAGTAAATCTGTGGCATTGTTAAGTTCTGTATTTATGTCACGTTATTAACCATGTAAGAAAAACCTGATAGTTACAATTTTTTATTGTATAAAAAATGCTTGTTTTTGAAACTGCAATAAAGGATTTTCATTGTCATTCACAGAAAACGGTGAACAGACAGGCCATTTAGCACATTTTAACTCCATATAACTCTGTGTGAAGAAAACTTTTCTGTGTTTCGGTTTTTATCAGACTGTGACACAGAGGAAGTGCTCGCTTTAACAACTGTGACATTAAATTTCATTTCCTGCTTTCAGACAAATGAATTTCCTAAAGCTAAATGAACGCAAATATCCAGAACCAGACAGTGAGTTAGTGAGTCTGTAGTGTGCTGGCATGCATCAGTGAAGAGTTTGTTCCAAAAACATGTCGGTTGGAGTGTTTTATTTTTATGTCTTGAGCTGTTTTTCTTGTCTGGAAGTGTGATGGCTCACGCACACACTGGCCTCAGCATCCTGTTCTGTAATAAGGAAGTAGGCTGTTAGCTGTCGCTTACAGTCGGTGCTCTGCTCTGCTGCTACAAGATTCCTTTTTCTTTTTAAAACTTTTGATTTTCTCATCTTGAACACCTGGATGCAGCCATGGAGATTTTCTCTTTTGGATATCTTGGTGTTACCTGACTGTTTCTGTTACGCCTCACGTGTCTCTTCTGATCCGTTCCTCTCTTTCTCCCTGGACCTGTGCACGTTTTAGTGCCCCCTAAGCCCGCGCATCTGCTGGCCCTCGGGCAAGACAAGAAACCCAAGAGGATCCCTCCGGCACCCTCGAGACCCCTGCCGGCGCCCCCTCCTTTGCCTAAACCCAAACCCTGTCTGAGCCCTCCTGTCCTGGAGGCGCAGCTGCAGAAGGAGGCTCAGAAGGTTGGACTGCTCATAGAAAAGTTTGAGAACTCCAGGTGAGAGTTTTTACTTCATTTGTTCTGTAAGTCTTGTTTGGAATCACACCTGTTTCATGTTTGACTGAACAGGCTGGTTGATAAAACTAAGACAAAAAAGTTTCATCTCCTCAGTTTCCACAACAAAGTCCAAACGATGCATTCATTTTTCTTTAATAATGACCATAAAGCACACTTTGTTTTCTCAGGGTCCCCATCCTGGGGGTGCTCCCACGGTCGCAGCTGCATCTGTGCCTGAGAATGGACGCCGCGTCCGACCTCCCTCCGAATGCCACGGCAAAGGTCGCAGGAGGCTCCTCTCCCGTGGACAAACTGGCGCTCGGCTCCTCCGAGCGGACCGACGGCATGGCCGAGCTCTCTCGCCTGGTCTCCATGCGCATCGACAACTCGGGCGACATGGAGCTGGAGAACGGCGTGAAGGAGGACGTCGCGCAAAGGGTTGTCCGCCTGGACGACGACGGGGACCGAGAGGACGACCCCTCCCACACGCTCAAAGACAGTCCCGACTCCTCGCAGCAGAACGGGAAGATTCCCAACCGGGACAGCGGCATCGACAGCCCGTCGTGCGCCGCCGAGGGGGAAGTGTTCCCCAACGAGGACGCCATCGACGAGGAGGACCGTTACGACAGTGTGACCGAAACGGAGAGCGTGTCCTGCTGCGTTACGCTGGACAACAAGCGAGACTCGACGCAGGACGAGGACAGTGACTTAGACGAGGGCAGCAGCGGGGAGATCCCCTCTCTCACAGACACACAGACTGGGTATCTGATAGACACAAACCCAGAGGCGCACAAAGTGAGTACTTTCTATTTTTTCATTCCCATAAACCTCCCGACACCATCATTTCATGTCTGGCTTCACTTTTTAATTTTCACATCTCGTGATTCAGGATCTTTAGTTCAAAAGCCTCTCTCCAGACACTCAGACTGGGTTTCATGTCATGGAAAAAGTTCACTGTGTGTATTATTATCTCAGCTTGAAGCCAGCCATTATAAAAAAGAATACCGGTGCGTGAAACATTAGAGCCTATTCCAGCCTCGGTTTGTTGGTCACAAGCCACTGACTCTTATCTAAAAGCAGCTCTTCCCATATGTGAGAGGATAAACACTCGCCTTAGAGCTGTAACAGGAGCTTCAGGTGATGAAAGTCCACAGGCAGGACTCTTCCCACAGCTGAGCTGAGATTTCAAACCGGCTATTGATTGTAAACAGCACCTTCACCTCAAATCAGGCTGAACTGTATTTGGCTGAAAGTGGACAAAGGATGATGATCCGTTGGGAGGAAAAGAAGCTAGCATTCCTTGAAGGAGCACATACCACTTGCCATCTTGTATTTTTTGACTTTAAATAAAAATCTTGTGAGATTTGTTAGCTTAGGCTGTATTTCAGAGATGGGATTCAGCTACTCTCAAACCAAACTGTAGCTTAAAATGTGGAAGATTGACTGAGTTGTAGCCATTTTTGTGTTTGCTGAGGTGAATTAGCTGTGGCAGCCATTTTCACCTGGGTCACCTCCAAACATTTAATCAGTTTATCAGGGGTGTCTAACTCAGTGCCACCCAGGACCACATGAGGGTTATGGTGTGTAATTAACTTAAACTTTTCACAATAACTGAGCTCTACGTGGTATTTCCTGAATCGAAACAGCGTTTTAACACATCCTTTTAAAAATACTGACAAGTACTACATGTACGACTGACTAAATGTGAAATAAATACAGAAATATTATTAAAAGTAACAGTAAGAGAGTTTTAATCACTGTTGAGTTCTAGTGAGCAGCTGCCATCTTGAATTCTGAACTCTCCGCTTTCTGACAGGGAATTCCCACTGGAGGGGCGTTCCAGTTTAAATTTAAGACTTGTAAGTGGGAAAGTCCCACTTCCCAGTACAACTGGGCTGCAGCAACATTAGCCGGCAAAAATGCAGCTAAATGGAGATTTTACACAGTGAATTTCATCTGCTGTCGGCTACTTTTGAACCCTTCCTAGTGGTAGGGGAGCGTCATTTTGCAGATAAAATATCTGAGATGTACTAATCAACTAAAGTAAACTAAATTACTCGTGTGCCGGACAAGTATTGTTATCTTTCACCTTTTTAAATTTGTTAATTTTGTTATGTTGAATCAGAAAACAGAAGAAAAACAAACCAAAGCTGTAAACTCAGTTACTCTTCAACCTGTCAGCAGTTTGGGTATGTGTTTGGTGTGATGCTCAGCTACTATGTTAGCTCAGTATCTGTCACACTGACTGAGTTGTAGCTAGGGCTGCCACGATTAGTCGATTAATCGACGACTAATCGATTATTAAAATAATCGATGACTAATTTAATAATTGATTAATCGTTTTTTTGGGGGTTTTTTTGTTCTTTGTTTTTCTCTCCAAACTGCTGTGACACCTTCCACTGCCACATCTGCCTTTCTGTCCTTGACACACATGCACAGTAGTGGTAACTGGGGTAGGCCGTGGACGTCACAAGACATTATACAGACAGGCTCTGGTATCATGGCTACCCAGCAACGG